AGAGAGAGAGAGAGAGAGAGAGAGAGAGAGAGAGAGAGAGACTGATTTATATGTGCTGTCAGAACAGCACAATGATTCATTGGCTTATTTTTCTACAGTAACTATCTATGATTTATGTTTCAGAAACAATATTAACTCTCTTCTTTTTGTAGTCCAGTTCTTGTTTTTATAGTAAAGAACCATTTCTTCAGTGGTTGCCTTGCTTATCTTCTACTGTTAAAAATAGGAGATTCATTCCACATGTGGTAACATTTCTTATTGACCAAGAAAGTCAAACTGGAATTTATCTCTTCCATATACCGGTAAGTCGTATAGCTTAAGAGTTGTTTACTATATTACCAAGAACTGCAAATTGGTCTTAGAGGACATCATTTCCAATCTGTCATGGTTTCAAGCATAGAAGTTTATAAAATTATTTATGATCCATAGAATAGTTTGGCACTGAATTTTTTAAAATTATTTGTCATTCCAGCTGATGAAAATTAAACTCATGATGCTGGTTACTTCCTGTTTGTTCTTTACTCATTCTCCAGGGGACTATAAGATGAATATTTTCCATATGAATGTAAAGTTCCTTGAAAGGGTTCATTTAGATGAACAACAACAAAAAATGGTACCCCTTGTCACAGACATAGATATTTTCTGTTGTATTAGTCCTTAACCTTGGCTATTAATTAGAATTATTTTCAGAGTTGTTTGAAAACATAGGGGTGTCTAAGTGGCTGTTTAGCAGTCAGTCCTAAGTGGGGCATATATGTCACCCTTCCAAAGCCCATGTAACATTAGATGAGCTTCTTTTTCAGCTGAACTTTTTTTTTTAAGGCAGGGTCTCATTAGGTAGCATTGGGTATTGAGCTCACAGTGATATGCCTGCTTCTGACTATGAGTTCGAGGACTAAAGGCATGTCCCACCATGCCTGCCTATGCTGAACATACTTTAGATTAAACTGATGTTTTACTGGTGAAAAAAACAAGTTAATTTTATGAGAGATAGGTTTCACGATAACAAGAGTGGAGAAGGTGATGGTGTTGGTCCATGAAGGTATCTCTCTTAGAGATATGAGATTCCCCTTTAAAGGGGATTTAGGATCAATCTTGTGAAAAGAAATGGTTGGCAGTCTCTTTTCCAAGAATTTGCTGCTTTAGTCAAACAAGGGAAGAGCTAAGACAGCTGTTCCCCCTTGTATCCATGAAAGTCTTCATTATAACAATATCTGTATACCAAGATGGCATCTACAGGTGTCAGAGTTTTGTTCTTTTCAAGACTATGGACCAATACAGTTGGGATTTTTGTCAGGCACCTGCATGTATCATGTAAGACATGAGCGTGGAGACTGGAGTCTATTTTAGTAATTTATTTATTTTAGTAATATATTATTTTAGTAATGATTATTTTAGTAATGACTCACAAACCTTTCAATACCATTTATTATTCAACTTCCAACAAATTATTTAATTTCCTATACAACATCTCAGCACCTATGAAATTGCCAGGTAGAAGTAGTGCAGTGCAGTTACCAGTGATTGCAAATCTCTCCAGTTCTTTTCTGTGATAATGAGCATACCCATGTCTTAGTTAAAATAATGAGAAAGTCCAGACATTATAACATGGACAAAGAATAATAGAATAAATCTCATGACCTCCTTGTGTTTTATCTAGAATTCCAAAAGGACCTTTGTCTCTGTGTCAGTGCTCAAGGATGACAAACCAAATGAAACTCAACCAAAATTTCCAAATTTCAAATTTCCTTCCTCATTCTCTAATCCAGTTGGAATGGTGTTCCATCCCCGAAGCCACTTTCTATATGTTTATGGCAACCAGGTATGCTGCCAGAATTCTTTCTTATGGAATAAGAGTAAGGAGTCCACCTTGTGTAGACTAATTGTCATGCCCATAAAGAACAGGAGTAACCTGATAATCTGTAGGGTAGAGGTAGAAGGGAAGACAACACACACTTATCAACTGTTCATTGCTGCTAAGTTCTAAAACGAGAATGGGGCACCATGGTTCTGAATATTGCCAGGTGTAATCCATTTCTTTACAGCTCTATGACCTGGATTTTGCTATTAATCCATCGAAAGTATGTTTTTTCTTTTTATTTAAATTAGAAAAAAGATTCTTTTACATGTCAATCTCAGTTCCCTCTCCCTCCCCTCCTCCCCTGCATCCTACCAACCCCCTGTCCCAACCCTTTTCTGCTCCCTAGGGAGGGTGAGGCCTTCCATAGGGGATCCTCAAAGTCTGTCATATCATTTGGAGCAGGGCCTAGACCCTTCCCAGTGTGTCTAGGCTGAGAGAGTATCCCTCTATGTGGAGAGGACTCCCAAAGCTCATTTGTGTACTAGGGGTAAATACTGATCCACTACCAGTGGCCAAATTGTCCAGACCTCCAAACTGACTTCCTCTTTCAGGGGGTCTGGAACAGTCCTATGCTGGTTTCCCCCAGTCTGGACAAAGCTCATTTGTGTACTAGGGGTAAATACTGATCCACTACCAGTGGCCAAATTGTCCAGACCTCCAAACTGACTTCCTCTTTCAGGGGGTCTGGAACAGTCCTATGCTGGTTTCCCCCAGTCTGGAGTCCATGAGCAATGCCTTGTTCAGGTCAGCTGTTTCTGTGGGTTTCTCCAGTCTGGTCTTCACCGCTTTGCTGATCACTCCTCCCTCTTTGAAACTGGACTCCAGAGTTCAGCACAGTGTTTAGCTGTGGGTGTCTGCTTCTGCTTCCATTAGCTACTGGATGAAAGCACTAGGGTTGCATATAAGGTAGCCATCAATCTCATTATCAGAGAAGGGCATTTAAGGTAGCCTCTGGACTATTGCTTAGACTGTTAGTTGGGGTCAACCTTGTAAACCTCTGAACATTTCCCTAGTGCCAGAATTATCTTTAAACCTATAATGGCTCCCTCTATGATGGTATCTCTTGTCTTGCTGTCATCTATACTTCCCCTGACTCGATCTTTCCCTTCCCTCATGACCTCCTCTCCCCTCATCTTCTTACCCTTTCTTTCTTCTAACTCCCTCTTCCCCTCCCTCATACTCCCAATTAGCTTAGGAAATCTTGTCCCTTTCCCCTTTTTCATGGGACCATTTATGTCTCTCTTAGTGTCCTCCTTGTTTACTAGCTTCTCTGGCTGTGTGGATTGTAGGCTGATAATTCTTTGCTCTATATCTAAAATGATATATGGTGAGTACATACCATTTTTGTCTTTTTGCGACTGGGTTAACTCACTCAGGATGGTTTCTTCTAGTTCCATCCATTTGCCTGAGAATTTCAAGATTCCATTTTTTTTCCCACTGAGTAGTACTCCATTGTGTAAATATGCCACAGTTTCTCTATCCATTTTTCAGTTGAGGGGTATCTAGGTGGCTTCCAGGTTCTGACTATTACAAATAATGCTGCTACGAACATGGTTGAACAGATGTCCTTGTTGTATGAATGTGCATCTTTTGGGTATATGCCTAAGAGTGGGATTGCTGGATCTTGTGGTAGACTGGTTCCCATTTTCCTGATTAATTGCCATACTGATTTCCAAAGTGTCTATGTGAGTTGGCACTCCCACCAGCAGTGGAGGAATGTTCCCCTTTCTCCACATCCTCTCCAGCATAAACTGTCTTTGGTGTTTTTTTTATTATTATTATTTTAGCCATTCTAAAAGGAGTAAGATGGTATCTCAGAGTAGTTTGGATTTGCATTTCTCTGATGTGTAAGGATGTTAACCACTTTCTTATGTGTCTTTTGGCCAGTTTAGATTCCTCTATTGAAAAATGTCTATTTAGTTCTGTTCCCCACTTTTTAATTGGATTAGTTGGTATTTGGGAGACTAGCTTCTTGAGTTCTTTGTATATTTTGGCAGCCCTCTGTAGGATGTGGAGTTAGTGAACATCTTTTCCCATTCTGTGGGCTGACATTTTGTCTTTCTGACTGTGTCCTTTGCCTTACAGAAGCGTCTCAGTTTCAGGAGGTCCCATTTATTAATTGTTGATCTCAGTGTCTGTGCTACTGTTATTGTGTCCAGGAAGCAGTCTCATGTACCAATTCATTCAAGGGTACCACCTACCTTGTCTTCTAAGAGGTTCAGTGTGGCTGGATTTATGTTGAGGTCTTTGATCCATTTGGACTTAAGTTTTGAGCATGGCAATAGATATGGATCTATCTGCAGTCTTCTAAATGTCAGCATCTAGTTATGCCAGCACTATTTGTTAAAGTTGCTTTCTTTTTTCTGTTGTATAATTTTAGCTTCTTTGTAAAAAATCAGGTGTTTATAGCTGTGTGGATTAATATCAGGGTTTTCTATTTGATTCCATTGGTCTATCTGTCTATTTTTGTGCCAATACCAAGGTGTTTTCAGGACGATAATTCTATAATAGTGCTTGAAGTCAGGGATGGCGATGCCTCTGGAAGTTCCTTTATTGTACAGGGTTGTTTTGGCTATCCTGGGTATTTTGTTTTTCCATATAAAGTTGAGAATTATTCTTTCAAGGTCTGTGAAGAATTGTGTTGGGATTTTGATGGGGATTGCATTGAATCTGTTGATTGCTTTTGGCAAGATTGCCATTTTTACTATGTTGATCCTAACTATCCAGGAACATAGGAGATCTTTCCATTTTCTGGATATCTTCTTTAATTTCTTTCTTTAAAGACTCATATGTGGATTTTAGACATGGAGTAAAGGATTACCAGCCTACAGTCCACACTGCCAGAGAAGCCAGTAAACAAGGTGGACCCTTAGAGAGTCATACATGGTCCCCTGGAGAAGTAGAAAGGGACAAGATCTCCTGAGCAAATTGGGAGAACAGGCACAGGGGGAACTAGGAGAATGAGAAGGGGAGAAGAGGAGGGGTGAGGAAGACATGATGGGGCAGGGAGGTTGAGTTGAGGGAAGAACAGAAGAGAGCAAGATAAAAGATAATATAATAGAGAAATCAGGCACTAGGGAAATGTCTGGAGAGTTACAAAGATGACGCCAAATAACAATCTAAGCAACAGAGGAGAGGCTACCTCAAATGTCCTCCCATGATAATGAGATTGATGACTAACTTATATGCCACCCTATACCCTCATCCAGCAGTTGGAGGAAGTAGAAGCAGACACCCACAGCTAAACCTTGAACTGAACTGGAATCCAGTTGCAGAGAAGGAGGACTGATGAGCAAAGGGGTCCATACCAGGCTGATGAAACACACAGAAACAGCTGACCTGAACAAGGGAGAGCTCTTGGTTCCCAGACTGATATCTGGGAAACCAGCATGGAATCGATCCAGACACCCTGAATGTGGGTGTCACTGAATAGACCTTGGAAATCTATGGGGTCTTGTAGTAGATCAGTACTTATCCCTATCATAGGAATGGACTTGGGGAGCCCATCCCACATGAAGGGATACTCCCTGAGCCTAGACACAAGGGGGATGCCCTAGGCCCTATCCCAAAGAATAAAACAGACTTTGAAGATCCCCATGGAAGGCCTCACCCTCCCCGGGGACCAGAAAGGGTATGGTATAGGTAGGGTGTTAGTTGGGGGGCCAGGGGAGGATGGGAGGGAAAGGGACCTGGGATTTACATGTAAAATAATTTTCTTTCTAATTAAAATGAAAAAAAAGACTCAAAATCCTTACAATACAGGTCTTTCACTTTTTTGGTTAGCATTGCCCCAAGGTATTTTATGTTATTTGTGGCATTTGTAAAGGATGATGTTTCTTGATTTCTTTCTCAGCACAATTATCATCTGTATATAGTAGAGCTACTGATTTTTTGGAGTTAATCTTGTATCCTGCCACTTTGCCGAAGGTGTTTATCAGCTGTTTGGATACCCTGGGAGAGTTTTTTGGGTCACTTATGTAGACTATCATATCATCTGCAAATAGTGAAAGTTTGACTTTTTCCTTTCCAATTTGTATCACCTCAATCTCCTTTTGTTGTCTTATTGCGCTAGCTAGAACTTCAAGGACAATTTTGAAGAGGTATGGAGAGAGCTGACAGCCTTGTCTTGTCCATGATTTTAGAGAAATCACATTGAGTTTCTCTCCATTTAGTTTGATGTTGGCTGTTGGCTTGCTGTATATTGCTTTTATTATATTTAGGTGTGTTCCTGTTTCCCCAGATCTCTCCAAGACCTTTATCACAAATGGGTGTTGGATTTTGTCAAAGGCTTTTTCAGCATCTAGTGAGATAATCATGTGGTTTTTCATTCTCAGTTTGTTTATATGGTGGATTTCATTGATGGATTTCCTATGTTAAACCATCCTTGCATCCCTGGGATGAAGCCTACTTGATTATGGTGAAGGATTTCTCTGATCTGTGCTTGGATTCGATTTGCCAGTATTTTGTTGAGTATTTTTGCATCAATGTTCATGAGGGATATTGGTCTGTAGTTCTCTTTCTTAGTTGTGTCTTCATGTGTCTTGGGTACCAAGGTAATTGAAGCCTCATAAGAGGAGTTTGCCAATGACCCTTCTACCTGGGCTTTTTCTTTCTTTTTTTTTTTTTTTTTTTTTTTTTTTTTTTTTGGTTTTGGGATTTTCATGGCTCCTTTTATTTCATTAGGGGTTATAGGTCTATTTAAGTTGCTTATCTGTTCTTGACTTATTTTTGGAAAGTGAAATCTATCCAGAAAATTGCCCATTTCCTTTAGGTTTTTGAATTTTGAGAAATACAGGTTTTCAAAGTATGACCTGATGATTCTCTGGGTTTCCTCAGTATCTGTTGTTATGTTCCCCTTTTCCTTTCTGATTTTGTTCATTTGCATGTTCTCTGTCCTTTGGTTAGCTTGGATAAAGGTTTGTCTATCTTGTTGTTTTCTTGAAGAACCAACTCTTTGCTACATTGATTCTTTGTTTTGTTTTTACTTTATTGATTTCAGCCCTCAATTTGATTATTTCCTGGAGTCTACTCCTCCTGGATGCCTTGGCTGCTTTTTGTTCTAGATCTTTCAGTTGAGCTGTTAATTCTCTATTGTGACTATTCCACAGTTTCTTCATTTGGGAACTTAGTGCTATTAACTTTCCTCTTAACACTGCTTTCAAAGTGTCCCATAAGTTTGGGTATGCTGTGTTCTCATTCTCCTTGAATTCTAGGAAATCTTTAATTTCTTTTTTCATTTCTTCCTCAACCCAGGAATTGTGCAATTGGGCATTATTCAATTTCCATGAGTTTGTAGCTTTTCTGCAATTTGGTTTTTTGTTGAATTCTAACTTTAAAGCATGGTGGTCTGGTAGGATACAGGGGGTTACTTTAATTTTTTTTTTAACCTGTTGAGATTTGCTACATTGCCAAGTATGTGGTTGATTTTAGAGAAGGTTCCATGTGGCGCTGAAAAGAAGGTATATTCTTTTGTGTTTGGATGAAATGCTCTATAGATGTCTGTTAAGCCCAATTGAGCCATAACTTCTATCAGTTCCTTTGTTTCTTTGTTAAGTTTCTGTCTGGTGTTCCTGTCCAGTGGTGAGTGGGGTGTTGAAGTCTCCCACTATAAGTGTGTGAGGTTTTATGTGTGAATTGAGGTTTAGTAATGTTTCTTTTATGAATGTGGATGCCTTTGTATTTGGGGCATAGATATTCAGAATTGAGACTTCATCTTGATGGATTTCTCCTGTGATGAGTAGGAAGTGACCTCCTTCATCTCTTTTGATTGATTTTACTTTACATATTAGGATTGCTCCCCCACTTATTTCTTGGGTCCATTTGCTTGGAAAATCTTTTCCCAACCCTTTACTCTGAGGTACCATCTGTCTTTGAAGTTGAGTTGTGTTTCCTGTATGAAGCAGAAGGATGGATTCTGTCTCCATATCCATTCTTCTAGCCTGTGTCTTTTATAGGCGAGTTAAGACCATTAATATTGAGGAATATTAATGACCATTGATGATGTTCATTCTTTTTTGCTTTGGAATTGGTGGTGGTGGTGGAATTGTGTGTGGATTTCCACCCCCATTTTTCTTTGGGCAGTTGGTAAAGTGGGATTATCCATTGCCTGTGTTTTTCTGGTTGTCATTAACTTCCTTGGGTTGGAGTTTTCCAGAACTTTCTGTGGGGCTGCATTGGTGGATATGCATTGTTTGAATCTGGTTTTGTCATGGAATATCTTGTTTTCTCCATGTATATTGATTGAAAGCATTGCTGGGTATAGTAGTCTGGGCTGGCATACATGGTCTCTTAGTGTAGCTAGAATATCTTTCCAGGTTCTTCTGGCTTTCATAGTTTCAATGGAAAAGTCAGGTGTAATTCTGATAAGTTTTCCTTTATATGTTACTTGAGCTTTTTCCTTTGTTGCTCTTAATATTCTTTCTTTATTCTGTATGTTTGGGGTTTTGATTATTATGTGGCAAGGAGACATTTTTGGTCCAGTCTATTTGGTGTTCTGTAGGCTTCTTGTACTTTCATTGGCATGTCTTTCTTTAGGTTTGGAAAGTTTTCTTCTATGATTTTGTTGAATATGTTTTCTACACCTTTGAGTTGGGTTTCTTCACCTTCTTCTATACCTATTATTCTTAGGTTGGGTCTTCTCACAGTGTGCCATATTTCCTGGATATTTTGTGTCAGGGATTTGTTGGACTTAAGATTTTCTTTGGTGATGAGTCTATTACTTCTAGTGTATCTTCAATGCCTGAGAGTCTCTCTTCCATCTTTTGTATTGTGTTGGTTTGCTTGCATCTGTAGTTCCTGATTGTTTACCCAGCTTTTCTTTTTCCAGCATTCCTTCAGATTGTGCTTTCTTTATTGTCTCTATTTCAGTTTTTAGGTCTTGAACTGTTTCCTTAGGAGATTTGTTGATTTCTTATATTTTTGGTTTATTTTTTTCTTCAATTTCTTTAAGGGATTTTTCTCATATCCTCTTTGAGGGTCTCTATCATTTTCATGAAGTTGTTTTTAAGGTTATTCTCTTCTGTTTCATCTGTGTTGGGATGTTCAAGTCTTGCCTGGTGTACAGTCCCTAGACTCCGGTGATGTCATATTGGTTTTTCTGTTGTTGAATATGTTTTTATATTATCTTCTTCCCATCCCTTCTTCTGGTGGGTGTAGAAGGAGCCTCTTCCTCTCCTGATGGGTACGAGACCAAGGTTCCCTTCAGGTGGGTGCAAACAGGTCCATGACTCTGATGTTTCTCTTCTTCCCGTGGATGGAGGCAGGACTGGTACCGGGAAGTTGGCAGTCTCAGGGTGGGCTGTATGCGGCTTAGATGGGATCTGCTGTGAGCAGTCCCCAGGCCTCAGGTGTCTCCAAGCAGGGCAAAGGAAAGTGGACCAGAAACAGGCCCAAGCTCACCTAGCTCCGTGGGTGGAGGAAGGGACTACGAACCTTGCTGTCTCTGGGTGTGCTGGATCCTGCTGAATTGGGATCCGCAGTGCTCAGTCCCAGGCCTCAGGTGTCTCCGAGCAGGGGAAAATAAGATGGGCCGGAAACAGGCCCAAGCTTACCTAGTCCCGTGGATGCAGGAAGGGACTAGAACCCTGCAGACTCTGGGTGGGCTGGATCCCGCCGGGATGGGATCCGCAGCAGCACCAAAAGTGTGTTTTATCTGGTATTTCTGGCACTTGACATTGCCTTGTCTCCATCTCTCTCTTTCTGACTTTGTCTATGCATTCTCTACTGGCTTTGCTGAGCTCTTTCTGCTGATGTTCTCCATTCTTGGGCCTCTAGACAGACAGTTCTATCAGGAGCAGCCTGGAAGCTTTATAAAGCTTACAGAACACCTCTGGTCATGAGCCAAGTGAAAAGTAAGGAACACAAAATATAACACATGGAGAAATTTAGTAACAAGAAAGCACTGTGGTGACTTCCAGGCAATGCACTCAGCTCACTTTCACAGTGAGATTTCTCCCCTAGAAATGTGAAGTTTAGTCAAGACAGAGAACAGAGTTTATCTGTGAGATTCTGAGATACACGTGACACGTTACAGTTTTATTTCAAAGATACAAGCTCCTCAATCGTTAACTTCAAAGTATGATTTCTATTTGGATAGAAAGTGGCTAACGACTCCAGAGATTGTCAGTTTAATCTAGAATTTCTGTTCATTTGGTGACTATCTCAAAACATCTATTGAATAACTCCCTCTAGCAATCACACATAGGGAAAGACAAGCAGTGCCAATCTAAACTCACTGAAAACAATCAGGGGAGCAAAGCACAGTGACACCCTCCTGCAGTCCCAACAGTATGGATGCTGAGGCAGGTGTGTTGCTGCCAGTCCAAGGCCAGTTTTGACTCCAATGAGATCTGTGTCAAAGAAAAACAACTTAGGTAACTCACAAGGCCTACCAAAAGTTGTTCAGGTTGATTCAGGCTGAGCATGACTGTACATATCTATAACAACTGCATTAGGGAGCAGAGATAGGCAGATCCAGAGAGCTCACTGGACAGTCAATGTGTCCAAAGCAATAAACTTTCTATTCAATAAAAGACTCTGTCTCAATAAAGTAGAGCACACAATAGAGGAATTCTCAATATCATTCTGTAGTCTCCCCATGAATTTAATACACACACACACACACACACACACACACACACACACACGAGAGAGAGAGAGAGAGAGAGAGAGAGAGAGAGAGAGAGAGAGAGAGAATGAGAAGAGAGAATGAGAATGCAATAAAATATCACTCAGCCACTTAGGTGACCTAGTTACTTCTGGCAATAGAAAACTTTGGAAAGGTAAATCAAGTGTTATGTGGAAAGCAGTCAGTGTGTCCCTGAGTTCATGATGGACATTGAGATGTGAGGAAAATAGTACTGCATGGTTTTGCTTTGTAGGAAGATTAGGCTAATAGGTAATTTGGGAAATTGGAGGCCCTTGTTAGTGAGGTATTATCTCTTCATTCCTTTAGGTATGGCTTTCAGAGGATGGTGGCAATTCTTTTGACTTACTATGTGACTTTCTAAGTAACTTTGTAAGAAAGACTGTTCATAGTTTTTATACTTCAGATATAACTTTTATTACACAAAGTGGAAAGATTTACATGACAAAGGCAGGTAAGTACTTTTTTATTTGGGGTTATAGAATGTCCTATTCAAATTGCTACAGAATACATTCGTCTCAGCAATCCATGGAACCTTCTCCAAATAGTCCACACAAAGCAGGTTCAACCATTACAGAAAAACTGAAATAATTTTATGTATTCTACCTGATCACAATGGAATATGAAATCAAATCAATATCAAGAAGAACCATAGAGTACACACAAACTCATGAAGACTAAGTAACATACTAATGAATGAAGAAAACAAGAACATTTTATTTCATTTTATTTAGCTTTTTAGAGTTTCTCAGTATGGTTGTTTTGCATGCACATACGTCTGTGTACGAGTTGTATGCCTGGTGCCCACAGAGGCCAGAAGAGGGTTTGGGGAATCAAAACCGATCTTTATGGAAAACCAGCTAGTGCTCTTTTACCACCGAGCCATCTCTCCTGCCACTGTAAGAAGAAAAGAACTTTAAAATCCTAGAATCAAGCCGGGCTGTGGTGGTACATGCCTTCAATCCCAGACTCGGGAGGCAGAGGCAGGAGGATCTCTGTGAGTTCAAGACCAGCCTGATCTACAAGAGCTGGTTCCATGACAGCCTCCAAAACAATAAAGAGAAACCCTGTCTTGAAATCCCCCCAAAAAATCCTAGAATCAAATAAAAAGGAAAATACAACATATCAAGATTCATGGGATACAGTGAAGATGGTCCTAAGAGAGAAGTTTAGAGCTCTAAGTGCCTATATATAAAAACCAGAGAGATTTCAAATAATGCTAAATCTTATGTCCCTGGAAAAATGAGAACAAGGCAAACCCTAAATCAATATACAGAGACAAACACAGAAAATAATAAGAAATGGAAACAAACAAGTGCCAAGAATGAGTGAAACAGAGTTGGCTCTTTAAAGCAGTAAGCAAAGTTGACAAACCCTTAACAAAGCTAACCAAAAGAAAGAGAAGACCAAAGGGAGTGTTACAACAAATACCAATGAAATTCACAAAATCTTTAGGTGTAACTTTAAGAACACATATTCTACTAAATTGGAAATTCTAAAAGAAATGTTTAAATTTCTGGATATGTGTGACCTACCAAAATTAGGCCAAGATGAAATAAACAATTTGAATGTGCATAACAAGCAGTGAGACTGAAGGAATTGATAAAATCTCCTACAACAACAAAATCCCAGCCCCTGTTGAACTGACTGGCTTATTTTACTATACCTTCAAAGGAGTGACATCAGTGCTTCCCAAACTATTTTACAAAACAGAAATGAAGAAACATTACCAAACTTAGCCTGTTCTATCTCACTTTTGAAAAACAGTGCCTCACACTATGTAGCTCTGGCTGACATGGAACACAAGAGCTGCACCAGGCTAGCCTCAGACTCACAGAAGTATGCCTCCCCAGTGCTGGGTTTAAAGATATGCACCTCTATGCCAAGCCTTCTCAATTCTTTTTGAAGATAATATTACCCTGATAACAAAGCAAATAAAGACACAAAACAACCAAAACACCAAATCATGTGATGAACTTAGGCCAAAAAGTTCTCAAAAAGCGCTTGCAAACTAAAGAACCCATCAAGAACATTAATCACCATTACTCCAGAGATTCTGGATTGGTTTGATATGTAACTGTTATAAATCATATAAATGGACTCTAGCTTAGAAATTACATGGTCACCAGACACGAAAAGTTCTTTGACAAAATACAACATCCCTTCAGGTTTAAAGTTCTAAAAATCTCAGAATACAAGGAACATAGGAACACATATCAATATAAGGGGTACATATAACAAACCTACAGGCAATGTGTTAAAACAATCAAATAATCCCATTCATAGTAGCCCTGATAGGTGAACTATGTTGTAATAAATCTAATAAAGGATGTGAAAGATCTCTACAATGAAAACTTTAAAATACTGAAGAAGTAAATTGAGAAAAACCCTAGAGAATGAAAAGACTTCCAATGCTCATGAATTGGAAGAATCGCTGTTGTGAAACAGGCTGTCCTATCAAAAGCAATCTACGGGTTCCATACAAGCACAATCAGAGTCCTGTTCTGTTCCTCACAGAAAGAGACAAAAACAATTTAAAATTCATACAGAAGGTCGGGCGTTGGTGGCTCACGCCTTTAATCCCAGCACTCTGAGAGTTCGAGGCCAGCCTGGTCTCCAGAGCGAGTGCCAGGATAGGCTGCAAAGCTACACAGAGAACCCCGGTCTCAAAAAAAAAATTCATACAGAAGCCCAAGAGATCCTGGACAAACAGAAATCTAATTAGATGGTTTCGGGAAGAGAAAACACTACCAAGAAGACTAAACCACCTTTCTTCCTTATCCCTTGACTAGACAGCCCCTTCGTTCTGTTCTACTGCCCACTTTGGTGAAGATGTTCTGTAATGAAGAGGAACTGCAAAAGACTTTCCAAGGATGTAAAACAAAGTAGCATGTATTTTACTAATTTAGAAGTCTCCGAGTCCTACTCTCATCTTTAATTTAAACAAGCAAATCTTTATAGGTATAATATAAAATTTCTTCTAGGTGTACTGAATCAGTTTCAAGAGAGTTCTGTTTGTTTCCTGACAGGATTGACAACATACACTCTACATGGAAACTGGGATGACAAAGTTTTCACAATATACTATGATCACTTGGGATTCATACACAAACTGACTCCAGAACTCTTTGACACTGATTCATCATCTTCAGACTCTCAAACTTCTAATCGGATTTTTGGAAAGGTCAGTAATATGATGCACTGAAAAGTGTTCATCTTGTTTTAAGAACAGATGCCACATTCTTTGTGCAGAACAATGAATGAAACAGTATTTTTCTTAATAATACCCTTTTAAGGATTTTAAATTTGTGTGTGTGTGTGTGTGTGTGTGTGTGTGTGTGTGTGTACATATAAGGGCAGGTGTTTGTGGAGGCTAAAGATGCAGGGTTACCATAAAGCTAGAGTTACAGGCAGTTGTGAACCACTTAGCAGGGTCCCTGAAAACCAAACACAGGTTCATTGGCAGAGCAAGTATGTGTTCATAACAGCTGAATCATATCTCCAGATCCATCCGGACACTCTTTGCTAAAGGAAAACTTTGTATGCAACATTGAGCACTTCCAATAAACACTGAGCTCTTAGAGACTACTGAGACTCCAAAATGGAAATGGGGTGAAAAAGGAGAAGTGGTAGAAACTGTTGAAGATGTTATTATTTGGAAATAGACTTCTGAGAGATTTGAGGAACTAAAGAAAGTGATAAAGGAAATACAGGAGAGATACAGGTGGCTAACAAGAGCTGAAGAACTAATTGAAGCTGGACACATGGATAGCAGATGGGATGAGCTTTGCAGTGGCATTGCCATGAAAAAGCAAGTTGAGGAGGAAGAGGCTGAAGTAAAAAGGGAGGCTGCAGATGCTGCATACTCAGCAAGCAGTGAAAACACCTCCTCGAAGGCTACCAAATGTGATAGTCCACTCGCCTACAGATTCTACCTCCCCAGGAGGTGATTATCCACTTGGAGACTACTCCAACCACGATGGAAGAGGCTACCTCTGGGGTAACCACTGGGACTTTTCCGAGTACCCAGTCACCTTGTTTCCTGGGATTCCTGACACCCTTCCTCCAGGCTCTGCACCCTTAGAAGTCCCAATGACCTCAGTAACAGATGATTCACCCCAGAAAGAAAGATACTTGTACAGAAAGCAACTCCATGCCCCTCCCCTCTGATGCCAGAGCTCATGAAGAAGGGCAGCCTCCTGCCTACTAGCCTCAGACTGGTAGATGAGAGTAAGATGTCTGTGACTTCTGGTCACCTGAACAGCACATATGTTCTGCTGGAGGTAGGTGGTCTTCTTCCCATGATACATGGTGGGGAGACACAGCCAGCAAGCAGTACTGTTGCATCCTCCCCTTCTGCCTCAAGTACTCCCAGTCTTTCCCAGCTTTTAGAAGCTGCTCCTACACAGTTTACCACTCCTCTTCCTTCCTTCACTACTGTTGCCAGTGAGACTCCAGTTAAACTTGTTCCACCCCCTGTAGAGTCTGTGTCCCAGGCTACCATTGCCATGATGCCTGTGCTGCCAACACCATCTTCTGCTCCAGCTGTCTTCACTCCTGAAAGTGTAGCTCCAGTGAATCAGCCCAACACCTGTGTTCCCCTGGAAGCTGTCAGGGATCTACATACTGTGACTGTGTGCATGGATGGATAGCAGTGAAATCTCCATGATCATTAATTCTATCAAAGAAGAATGTTTCCAGTCAGGGGTAGCAGAGTTTCCTGGTGGATCAAAGGCTCCGTGCATAGATGGAAAGGAAGATTTAGATCTGGCTGAGAAGATGGATATTGCTGTGTCTTACAGAGGCGACGAGTTGGACTTTGAAACAGTTGCAGACGTCACTGCCATCCTTGAGGACAAGGTTGATAATCATCCTGACGGGCTGGATGTGGCAGCTGTAGAAGCAACACTATCATTGTGTGAAGAAAATGATGACCTGAAGTCCCTGCCTGGCCCTTGGGAGCAACCTGTCCAGCAGGAGCGGGACTAGCCAGTACCTCTTCCAGCACAGAGGTGACAGTCAAATCAAGAGAGGCTAGACTTTGAGGAAACAGAAAACAAAAGTAATCCATGAACTGGGACACCAGGGAGTCAGGTGCTGAGATTAAGGTGGAAGCTGCAGAGCCAGAGCCAGGCATGTCAGGGGCTGAGACAGTAGATGAAGGTGGTCCAGTTTTGAGTATGGAGCCACCAGAACTCAGAAGTCAAGACTTAGATGAAGAACCTGGAAGTTGTGCAGCCGGAGAGATTCGTGAAACACATGGTTCCAGTGGGAAAGGTGATGAGATGCCACGTTCACCTGTGAAGACAGAGGCATCTTCTGAAAGCACGTTGTCTATATCACATGGCTCAAATCCTATTGAAGATCCTTTAGAGGCAGAGACTCAACACAAGTTTGAAATGTCTCATTGAAAGAAGAATCAGAGACTATTTTTGGAAGCCAGATAAAGGCTTCCAGGTGAGGAAGGGAAAGAAGATGGAGTCGGTGAAGTAGCTAGCCTAGAGGAGCCTGAGGAAGAGGATCAAGGAGAAGGCTATTTGTCTGAAATGGAGAATGAACCCCCTGTGAATAAAAGTGACGATGGCTTTAGTATACATAATGCCACACTGTAGTCACACACACTGGCAGACTCTATCACAAGCAGCCCTGTCTCTTCACAGATCTCTGTGTGTAGTGGAGATCAAGAAGCAACTCAGGCTCTGAAAATATGGAAGAAAGCCATTATGCTTGAATGGAGGGCTGCAGCAAATCATAGATATGCCAATGTGTTTCTGCAACCTGTTACACACGACACAGCACCTGGCTACCGTAGCATTGTGCGAAGACCTATGGATTTGTCAACAATTAAAAAAAAAAACTTTGGAAATGAACTGATCTGCAGCATAGCCAAGTTTCAGTATGACACTGTACTGATGTTCAGAAGAGACCCAGAGAGATGTCCTGGAACAGATCCAGAAATCCTTGGCCACACAGTTGATTGTGCAAACATCTTTGTCTGGGATCAGTGTTAAAGGTCTTGGGGGAAGAGAAGGATATCTATCTGAGAAGGATAGGGGAGCCAGGGGGCGCCGCTGTGTCATTAAAGCAGATATGAAAATGACGAAGTGAAGCCTCAGAGTTCCCTCTTTGAGCTGAACCTGAAATAAACAAGATATATCATGGGTTTGTGGGCTTAGGTCCACACTTGATCTTAGTCAAAAGGCCAAGAAGCAATACAGGCCCAGAAGAGAAGGTTCCTGGGCCAAATGACATGAATTGAGAAAAATCTCTTTTCAGAGAGTTGGAGTAGCACAGTTGCCCGTTTTTAGGGCAAATATCATGGGTTGTATTAATGTCCTAATGTGTAGCTAGCAGATTGTAGCAAATTTGTTCTGTCTTGTGAACCGTATGGACTTTAAAAAAAAAATAAACCTGTGAAGTGTGTGTGTTTAACAAACAGAAGAAAAACTCTGGTCTTTGGTGTGAATCCTTTGTGTTTGAAGTGGGTTTTCTCCACCATATCTAATCATATATGGGGATCAGATTGTTAGAGCTGAGAAGTGGTCTTATAAGCTGCCTGCTGCAACTGAGAAGAGATGAGTAACTAAGACTAAATTCATAATTAGTGTGAATTAAGTATTCGATAAGGTCTATTGGGGTTTTCGTGAATGTTTGGATAGTGTTAAGCTTTTCAGGATCTAGTTCATATATAATTTCACAGAGATTAGAATATAGACAAAGGCAGCAAAATATGTCAGGAACGTTTTGTGCCAGGACTGTCTTTGCCCATACTACCTGTATTTCCATAGGTAGAACTCTTGCACAATATATGAGGTGGTATCTGTAGTTTGACAAGGCTAGCCTAGAGCTCAAAATCCTCCAATTTCAACTTCCCCAGTAGCTTAGATTTCAGGTGTCTGTACCACACTGGGCTAAAAGTGCTTTAAAAAACAACAACAAAAACATCCTGTTAAATTTATTTATGTAAAGGTAATCTCTGAGAGTTGGGAAGTTTAGGGGGGAATATATTTTGGCAGTATAATGGCACTGCTCTCAGCTAATGTCCTTGGCAGTCTCCAGTGCTGGGGGAAAGAAATCATTGGAAAACAACATGGTGGCACATGCCAGTAATCCCAGGACGTGGGAAACTGAGGCAAGGGGATAGCTTACTGTTTGAGGCCAGCCTTGACTTCATAGAGAGATCTTGTCTCAATTTCGTATGTTTCAGTGGGTTCAGGTCCTGCTACCATGCCTGACCAGCTAAGTTTGATCCCTGAAACTCACATGGTGGGAGGTATATATATATATATATATATATGACACACACACACAAATTTAATTAAATTTTTAAAAATGTATTAAGACCTTGTGGCCTCAGTTCTATCTATTCCTAACTTATGTTACTAAATAAAAATATTCACTTAGTAAAATAAAAAGAAAGAAATGAATACTCATTAAGAAAGCATGCAAGAGTAAAATGTCTTTCATCAGAGTTTGGTAAAACTGTCATTTGTCTTAAGGAAAATAGAAAAAAAATAATGGATCTCTTTAATGATAAGTCCAGGCCTAGAGAGGTATCTCTGCCTGAGAACATTTGCCACTCTTCCAGAGGACCAGAATTTGGTATTCAGAACCCACACAGTGACTCAACCATTCATAACTATAGCTCCAGATTATCCAAAACATGTTTATTACTTCTAAGAGCAGTAAGTACACATTTGTGACACATACTCAAGCTGTGCTGGTTGGATTTTGTCAACTTGACCCAAACAGATACATCTGGGTAGAATAATGTCTTTTGAGGAATTGCTTACATCAGACTGGCTTGGAGCCAAGTCTTTAAGGCGTTTTCTTGATTGCTGATTAATGTGTGCAGTCACAGCAAGAAGCATTCTTATATGGCCTCTGCTTCATTTTCTGCCTCCAAGCTCCTGACTTATGTCCTTTCCCTAATTTTCCTTCCTGATGGACTTTAAGCTACAATCTGAAATAAGCCATTCCCTCCCCAAGTTGCTTACGGTCAGCACTAGAGAGTAAACTAGCACAGAAGGAGAGTACTTACACACTTATGATTTGAATAAATATATTAAAGTATATATTATATACTTTATCTGTATACCAGGCCAAGACTAGAGGTGGAGAAGAGGGTGTTTTGTATCCTCTGTCTGAGACATGCACACAAAGTAAAGAGAGGAATTCCATGAGGGGAGATGCCAGCATGTTCTCTGAGCTGGAGTCTGGATTCTGCAAATGTACAAAGTGGATGATGTGAGCAGTCTGATAGACATAACCACAAAAAAGCAGCCATGTCAGAATTTCACTATTGTCACAGTTTTGCAGAAAGTAGCCTAGTTCTCTTCAGTGAACGTTGAAATTGTTAAGATGGAGAAACTATAAGGATTCTTATACTCAGGACAAATTTGAAGAACTCTGATTCAACAACTTTACTTCTTTTTCTCTACAAATGACACATGCATCTTCTCTGAAAAAAAAAAAAGCCATCACTATCACTTACTATGTGTTGGGCATGGCTGTGAACTCTTCATCTTATAACAACTATTTGCCCTCATTTTCTTAGGAGGGAAGCAAGGTACACAGAGAGTCAATAACTACCCAGATTATGTTGGGGATTAGAATCAGGCTTTTCACTGAGGCAACTGATTCAGGGTTGTCCTCTTAGCCACCCTATTTCTCTATCTTTTTCATTCTTGGTGAGTACCCAAAATTCAAACACTGTGAGAAAAACGTGACAGAAAATGTCTGTTGGAGGCAATACTTGATGGATAAAACCCAAAACAGACTACAGTGTCTAGAACCCCCAACGCGCGCGCACACACACGCACACACACACACACACACACACACACACACACACACACACACACACACACAGATATCCAAAGAGCATATAGTTATATTACTCCAATCAATAAGTAAAGCAGTATCATTTTGATATGGAGGGGAAATACATTTGCTATTTGAATTGCATTCTAATTGCAGCATCAGACACTCAATATACAATATTTCCTTTTCTCCAATTTCAGCCTCCTGATTTGGGATTTAATACTGCACTAGCCCCGCAGTATATCACTCCCAATGAGATGATTTTCTTTGCGTATGTACCTCTGACTGAACCTAACTATAACCTATACAGAAGGAAGTTCAAAAGTATTCACCTTGGGAAAGTGATAAACCACAGGTAATTGAAGATTTGCTCACACTTATTTAGAACACATGCAGGTTTTCAGATTCAAATTTTTAACCTAGTTTTTGAAGATTTTCTTGGTTTAATAAGTTTTTTAATGTCTTTTATGACGAAATACATTTTTGAGATGATTATCACTATATAGTATTTGCTGGTCTAGAACTTTCTAGGTTGACCAGGCTAGAGTCTGACCTCCCTGAGATCTCCCTGCCTCTATCTCTTAATGGATTTCTCTGGCTTTTGATTATCTTTGTGACTATTTGATTGAGTTTCTCATGTTTCCTTAAGGGAGAAAAAAAAAGGTCTCTTAACAGAAGTTATATCTTAAAGCAACCAAATTCTGTTTTGTGTCTGCAATTAGTTTGTGAGAGGAATTTATTTACCTTTCTCATGTGCCTTAATAATTATTTTTCTTTTGTTTTGAAATATTTATTCTCACTCTGTGTGTGTGTGTGTGTGTGTGTGTGTGTGTGCGCGCGCGCGCGCGCGCGTGCGCGCGCGCTCACACACATGTGCACTCGCACACACGCACGAGCGAGTGAGTGCCACATGTGGGATCAGAAGACAACCCACAGGGATTCAAATACTGTGCCATCTTGCTGGAGGCTAATTCTGCTTAATTAGTTACCTTAGAAATTTAGGAAAAGGACATGTTCCTGATGCTACTGAGTGGGTCAAGAGTTGTGTTATACTTCCCTCTTCTGTAAAATGTATTGGCCTGTGCACTACAGAGAACTGTCTTTGTTTTCTTACACAATCACTTACAGCTTTCTCTTCCTAGGGAAGGAGGGCGGGGGAGGGGGATGATGAAGTTTGAGAGGACTAATCCTTAGATAGCACTGATTGACTATTTGAGGCCTGTGTGTAAGTTTCTGATACCCAATCTGTGGAGTAAGGGTTTTGCCTTCCATGAAACAAAATTCAGAAACTCAAGTGATGCTGTAGCCTGCTTCTTCTTGTTCTCTGATTCTTCCCAGGTTGCCTGTGCTGCCAGTGTCTGTAGTCACTATCTTGCCCTAGTCTTTGTCTTGAACCTTCAAATGGAAGCCATGGAACTTTCACTGTGTATCAATTCCCTTTGCCCAAGTGCGCCAGCATTTCCAAGCTCACACGTTGGCACAGACTTGACCTTTGGCAGGCGTAACAGTTTAGGCTCATGCTTACTTTCTTGTGTCGTGGTCAGCACTGTTTCCTTTTCCCATGCTCTTCCACTGAAGTGGACATGATCCTGGTGTTCGGTGTTTCCTTCAAGCTGCTAATCCCACTATATTTCTGGTTAGTTCTGGCTTAATTAATTTTCTATTGCTACTAAAGAACACTTGAAACTGGGTAATTTACAGAGAAAAGGGCTTTGCCTGGGCTTTTGATTGCAGCCACTAAAATATCCAAGCTAACACTTCCAACTGTGGTCAGGGCAGTGACCTTAACTTGATGGTGGAAGTAGATAGATAGACAACTGGATGTTCGAGAAACAGAAAACCAATGTCTCCTCATAACTATTTAATTCTCAAGACAGGGCTGTTCCCATGATGTAAACATTGTTGCTGAAGGTTTCTTCCCAGCCTGGTCCTGCAGCCCCTTCAATCCCAAATAAACACACGGATGCTATTTTAATTATGAAACTGTTGACCGATGGCTAGGGCTTCTATTGGATAGCTCTGTCTTAATTATTAACCCATTTCTATTAATCTAAGTATTTCCACATGTTCTTATCTTATCAGAGAAGGGTCCGGACCTCTAACTCCCTTGGCGGCTACATGTCATTCTGCCTACCTTTCCCAGAATTCTTCTTGTCCTGGTCCTACCTATCTTCCTGCCTCATTGGCCAGACAATGTTTTATTCATCAACCAATAAGAGAATCATATATATACAAGGACATTCTCCATCAAAACATTTGATGTATTAGTCAGTGTTTTCTAGAGATATGGAACTTATAGAATGTGTGTGGGGGGTGTCAGAATATTGAACTGGCTGTGGTGCAGCTGGTCCAACAATCTACCAGTGGAAGGTTCAATAATCCAGTAGTTATTTCAGCCCACAAGGCTGGGTGTATCAGCTGCTCTTCAGTATATTCCAGAATCCCAAAGAAGTAGGCTCTACTGCCAGGAAAGAATAAACTTGTCAGTGAAAGCAAGAGCAAGCAGGGGAAAAGCTAAAAGATTTTTTCTTCATGTTCTTTCTAAAGGCTGCAACCAGAAGGTGTGGCCCTGATTGAAGGTGTATCTTCCCACCTTCAAAGATCCAGATTTTAAAGTGCGTCTTCTCACTTCAAATTATTTAATTAAGAAAAAAGTCCCTCATTGGTGCCCAGCCACTTGGGTTTTAGTGGATTGCAAATGCAGTTAATTGACAACCAAGAACAGACATCATCTCTCCACTGAACTCAACTGCACAGCACCCTATGTGGAGGAAGAAACCCTCAGCATGAGTGTTGGTGGGCACAAATCTTAGTCAAAGTATGTCTACCTAATAGCCATAAGGAAAGAGATGAGTTGATATTTTCTTTTCTTGTAATTGAAACAAAAGCAAAAGCTTCATTTCCCCTTGTATCATAATCTTGTATTTGCTAAGTTCTTGTAATAATTTTGATGCTTTTCTACATATTATTTTTGATGTTCCTAGTAGACATAGATACACTTCTAAGTAAATAATCATATCACCTACAAGCAACTTGTTTCTTTCTTAACATTTCTTAGCATATTAAGCTTTTTCCTATTACAGTGTGCAGGCCTGATAATAAATATATTAAGTAGAAGATATCTGGCTTCCTTGTTGCTCCTGATTTTTAAAAAAAACAGTTTAAACATTTTACCATAACATAATCTTTCTACAGTTTTTAACCCTTTAAAAAATTTTCTTGCTAAAAGATTTATAATTTGCTGGCTGGAGAGAAGGATCCGTGAGTAAGGAACTTGCTGAACAAGTATGAGGGTCTGAGGCGACAACTCCAGCACTCATGTGAAAAACCTGGCATGCAATGGTGTACCTGAGGTCCCTTGTCTGGAAGGCAGTGGCAGGAGAATCCTACAGGCTCACTGGCCAGTCAGTCTAGTCCATTTGTAATCTCTACTTTCACTGAGAGACCCTGTACTTGCCCGCTCCCAAAAGGTATATGATTCTGGGGAGATAGCTCAGTAATTAAGAGCTCCCATTGCTCTTCCTGGGGCCCCAAGTTTGGCTACTAGTTCCATGTCATGCAGCAGGCAGCTCACAATTGCTAAAGATATGGATATTTGGATTTTTATTTTTTTAAACATATATGAGCTAATCAACTCAACTTTCTCCTTTTATTTTGATGAATATCATGAGTGATATTGTGGATTTAAAAATATTGTCTTGGTCATTTTGTGTTGTTTATCATATATGTATGGACTTAGTTTGCTAACATTTAGAAATTTAGCATATGTGTTAAAAAGTGAAGTTACAATTTTTCACATGTATTTTTGCCCTTGAAATGTTTTATGGTCTGTTAGATTATAAAACCTTATAAATATTGTTTCATAGAAAAATCTTAGGATCTTCATTTTCTGTGCTTTGAAAGTTTGCTTTTGGAAATTAATTGAAATTTACGCTATGTCCTGGGGGAAAAAGCTACTCATACAGTCAATTATTGTGAATATATTTGTGGTGAGGAACATTTTTTACCTCTACCCTTTTAGGAATATTTCATATGTAGTCCCGAGAATTGAACTAAACTGAAACAAAGCACACAGTTTTAATTAGTATAAAATTTATGTGGCATGGAAATTCTCATAAGAAAATGAAGACCCAGTTCAAGTTGAATACTTCTCTTTTTCTAGGAGTTTATTTCTATTCCCTTCAGATTGTGCAATTGCCAAGCATTGTTTCTATCACTTCAGGGCAGAGAGGGGCCTCAAAAGCCTCACGAGTTCTCATCACATTCATGAGGGAATGTTAGCGGACCTGTTTTTCTAAGAGTCTCTTGTGAATAATCACAGTTTCTGTCATTTCAAGATGGCAATCGCCATTTTATGCCCAGAAAATAGACAGTTCTACAACCCTCCGCCCCTTCCTCTGGCTCTTTCATCCTCTCCATCTCTCTCGCCCCCAATGTTCCCTGAGCCGTCGAGAGGTGATATAGCTTGGATGCTTATTTTCCCATTTAGGGATGAGCATTGACCCACTATGCTACAGCATAGTCCTTTCCTATCAGCAATTTGACCAGCTACAAGTTTGTGTACTGGCTACATCACTGGCTCACATTTAACCAGCTTTCTTATACAACCTTAATCCACCTTCCCAAAGAAAGGTGCTGCCTACAGTGAGCTGATTCCACCCTCTACATCAATCAGCAATCAAGACAGTCCCTCACAGAAATGCCAACAGGCTCATCTGATCTAGTCAGATTACCCAATGGAGGCTTTCCACTCAGAGGACTCTAGGCTGTGCCAATATAGTCATTAAAACTAGTCTGCACAGGAGGCTGGAGAGATAACTAAGTGGTGAGGAGTACTTGTTCTTCCAGAGGAACCAGCAGCACCCTCTTTATGGCTCACAATTTGTGTCTCCAGTTTCAAGGGATCCAGTGCCTTCTGACCTGTGCCAATACCCAGCATACATGCAGGCAAAGCAATCATACAAGTATTATTAAAACTTACTAGAATAAGCAGTGATGATATAACTATCACAAAGTCTAACCACTTATCAATACTTTAAGGGCCAAATTCTCAATACATGGACCTTAAAGGACAAAGGACAGGCAAATTATAGCAACATTCTGATGAATAGACATAAGCATCCAATTAAATAAAGAAAAGTCAATTAGATCTTGTATAAAATATGAAGAAAGTAAATATAAGACATGGGATGTGAGAAGGATTGAGTGGTGAGGACCAAATGCCAAGAAAAGTGCTGTCCAAGTGAAAGAAATTCAGATGAGAATACAGTGGCCAAGAAATAAGTGGGGAGTGTTTAATAAGCAGGAAGAAGGCCAGTGTGCGCAAGCATGTAGAGGCGGCATAGCACAAAGGTCAGTGAGACGGCAAAGGCCGTATTGTTGTGAGTCTACCCTTTAATGGCTGAGCTATCCCTCTAGCCTGTAAAGGTTGTATTGTATGGGGAAGTATACTGGTTCATTTGTGTGAACCAGATGCAAGCTAGAGTCATCAAAGAGGACAGAGCCTCAGTTGAGGAAATGCCCCCCATGAGATCCAGCTGTAAGGCATTTTCTCCATTAGTGATTGATGGGGTAGGCCCAGCCCATGGTGGATGGTACCATCCCTAGGCTGGTGGTCCTGGGTTCTATAAGAAGACAGTCTGAGCAAGCCAGGGGAAGCAAGCCAATAAGCGGCTCTCCTCAATGGCCTCTGCATCAGCTCCTGCCTCAAGGAGAGAACCTTTCCCGACTTCCTCCAATGATGAACAACAACAACATGGAAGTGTAGGCCAAACAAACCCTTTCCTCTCAACTTGCTTTCGGGTTGTGGTCTTTTGTCACAGCAATAAAAACTATGAGCATGACAGATAGTATTATAGGCTACATGAGGAATGTCTGCAAAACCAGTGTGAAATGTTACGTTGAAGATTGAACCACTCAGATTTTTTTTTTTTTGAAAATTCATTCTGACTGTAATGGGAAGGATGACACAAGATAAGAGTAAAATGTCCCAGAGCCCTTAGGGCCTATAAAATAGAAGCAATGGGGCTGAGACAGGTAGATCTGAGAAGGGCAGGACCAGGTGGACTATGATAGAGTCAAGTGAGGAGGAGTCAAGAGTCGTGTGGGTGGCTGACAACATGACTCAGCCAGTAAAATCACTTGTTGTACAAGCCTAATGACTTGCATTTCATCTCTGTAACCCACACAGGAGTGAGAGAACCCACTCCCCAAAGTTGTCCTCTGATTTACACACAGGTGGCTGTAGTCACACACACACACACACACACACACACACACACACACACACACACACACACACACACACACCACACACCACACACACACACCACATGCACTAAGCATCCTAATGAGTCAAATTTAAAAATAGTTCTATAGGATTTGGTTTTCAGCTCAACTGAGTGCTGTCAGTTTTTGAGATGAAGAACATGGAAATTCAGCAGAATAGCTGTAACTTCACATTAGAAATTACAGTTTCAAGTGTCTGTTGTGCCTTTAAAAGATGATATGGACAGTTGAATATATAGATTCATTGTGCAACAAAGAGTGGGTAGCCAGCATGTGGCTTTGTTCACATAATGCATGGGTGACGCTACTGCAGGAGATTGTTTAAATACAGAAGAGGCCTTCCAGGAACAGAGATTGGGCCCAGGAGTGAAGTCTGAAGATGAGCGGTCAGGGGTAGAAAAGCCTAGGAGGAAGGAGGCATCTAAACCCAGGAAAAGGGATGACTCCAAAAGCTTTCCAATGGTTGTAGCAGCTTAAATAAGGACCAAAAGTTACTTTGGATTTGGAGGCATTCTGGAGTAGAGTGACCTGGATGAAAGCAATATCACTGACATGAGATACAGAAGATAGAGTGAGCTAGAGAGATGGAACAGTTGTTGGATGGAAGCCTCCAATGTACCCATTCACACTTATGTCAGTCAACTTTATACAGTGTTTGCCCACTCAACAGTTATTCCTCTTTGTCTCCAGAACACACTGACCTTTAAATGGAAGCCCATCCTTTATTGTCCAAGTCCCCTTTCTTTCTTTTTTAAAGGTTTGTTTCTGTCCTCTCCTTGAACCACATAGTACTCCAGTCACCTAAAAAGCAATTCTTTGACACTTAGAGACTCCCAAGTGAGACAGGTTAGGGGACAGCTTTGTTAATTGAGTTGACTGATGACCTTGACCGTTGACTTCAGACACAAAGAGCTTAACTTCTTAAAAATTAGTGATCTGTGAGGTTTTTTTATTTATTTAACTGGAGATTTACAACAAAATTGAGGAGTAAAATCAGCAAGTTGTCATGTACATCACAACTACTCTTTTGTTTTCCCCTTTTGAGATTTTCTTTTTCCTCTTTAAGTATGTCTATTACATTCCTATTACCCTGCTTAAACAAGACCTGAACAATTGTTACATCACTAGACATCCTAACATAGAAGGGGAAATTTGATAGGGCCCCATCAATAAATAAAGAACTAGAGGCAACCACTGTGTGCTGAGAGCTGGGACAATAGTCTTCCTAGGGCATGAGCCCCTTCATTGGTTATCCAATACCAAGCTGTCAGACCCGAAATCATGTACACACTAACTGGACTAAGCAGATTTTACACACACACACACACACACACACACACACACACACACACACACACACACCCCACCACCACCACCACCACCAACAACAACAACAACAACAACAACTAGAAGAAAAGAGGTAATGAATTTGAAAGGGAGAAAGATGAGGGAGGAGCTGATACAGGAGGAGTTGAAGGGAGGGGTTGGAGGGAAGTGATTTAATTATATTTCAAAAAAATTTTAAAAGATACCTATAATTTCTAATTGCTTGATAATTATTTAGTGATGAATAGTAGTCCACTGTCTGTTTGAAACGCAGTTCATATAAATATTCACCCATTGTTTTAAATTATTTTTATTGTTTTATGCACGGATGTTTTGACTAAACAGGCATCTAACTGTGCACTATGTGTATCCCAGTGCCCGTGGAGGCCAGAAGAGGGCTTTGACTCTCCCGGAACTCGAGTTACAATGGTTGTGAGCTGCCATTTGGATTCTGGGAATGAGAGCTGGTCCTCTGCAAGAGCAGCCAGTGCTCTTAAACACTGAGCATCTCCCCAGCCCCAACCTATTCACCAACTGAAAGACTTGCCAGTTCATCCCCAAGATCAAAATGCTGGTAGTATCCACACGCAGGCTGTGGTGTAGACATGCCCTTTCACTTCACTTGGGTAAATACCTAGGAATATTGCATATGGTAGGAATATGTTTGAGATTAAAAGAAGCCGCCTAACTCCCCATACCTTTCTACATTCCCACCAGCAATAAATTAGAATTTCTTTCATACATCCTTACCAACATTTGGCATTGTTAGTGTTTAGGGTTTTGTTATTTTACTTTCCAGTTACCTGTTGCTGTAGGATGTATGCATGATGTGTTGCTCTCTCTCTCTCTCTCTCTCTCTCTCTCTCTGTGTGTGTGTGTGTGTGTGTGTGTGTGTGTGTGTGTGTGTATCCATCTCCCCAGTGCTGGATTACTAGACCTTACTCTGGGTTCTCTCTTTCTTTTCTTCTTGCTCTCCACTCTCCTTTCATGACCATTTTCAGTCTGGATCCTTCCAGATGACTCTGATTATTCTCTCCCTCTTATCTCCAATATATCTTCTGCATCACTCCTAGGAGCAGTTACATCCTCATTTTAAAATTTTTTCATTCAAATGTGAAGTATCAAATTCCTTTCTATTAAATTTGTCTTAATTTACAATCATAGAAGTAATGAATATGCATCTATTTCCATTCAAGTATCATCTCTGCTGAACTCTGACATTTATAAGTATTTATAGGCTGGGAGTGTGGATCAGAGGTAGAGCATTTGCCTAACATTCATGAAGTTCTAGGTTTGACCCCAGAACTAAAATGATGATATTTAGATAGATAGATGATAGATAGATAGATAGATAGATAGATCAATGACAGATAGATGATAGATAAATGTTAGGTAATAAATAATCTTTGCCCATTTCAAGTGTGAAAATTTATGTTGTATATGCCATTTTGTTAACAACTAAAATCCTTGAACAACTGTTGGCCAGATAGTCATTTGTTAGCTGGTATATTCCTATTATAAATCTTAATATTGGTATATTTTATTTGTAAATTATATGTTAATATGCCTGCTTATTTAAGCTACTGGGATATCCATTTTTATGTCTGTTGAATTGTTTTTATAGAGGTGGAGAAGCTTACATAACAAAATTATTCATACATACCAATGGTCCTTTGGGATTTCATACCTCAGCTCTCACAGAAATAGTAGAACCTTTTCCAGTAGAAAGCAACGTGGCCACCACATGTATATATGGTTCTCTTAATATTTCATATACTGGAAACATTTTCTACCAGATTAGTATTACAACACAAGGTAAGTATAAAAAATAATCTATTTCTGATGGTTACAAAAAATAAAAAGTTGCCTTTTGAGAAGACTTCATGCTCTGTGCGCACGTGTGTGAGTACGCGCGCGCGCGCGCGTGCGCGTGTGTGTGTGTGTGTGTGTGTGTGTGTGTGTGTGTGTTGCTGAAGATTGAGCCTAAATCCTTATATATTGCAGCAGCCCAGGAAGAACCAGCTTCCAGGCTGCTGACAGGGCTGGAAGAGAAAGTCCACAGCATAGGGCAAACAAAGACTTTGTCTGAGGGGATTAGAAGAAGATACACTCTGATGGATTCTGATGGATTCCTTCTTTATTCTCTTTTGTTGTTCTCATGATGTTTCTTTGTTACATCCTCTGCTTTCTGTATTCTTTCTCTTCCTAACTCTATCTTTTCTCTTCATGTTTCCCTTCTTATTTTTTCATACATAATGTTAACTTTCCAGCCCATATTAACTCCTCTCATGATGGTCTCTCATGATGCTCCAAAGTTTCTTTGTTTTTCACAGCTTAAATACCCACAAAATCTTTCAGGCATTACATTTGAAGGTCACATTTCATTACTTAAAATAAATAAGAAACATTCCCAAAGAAAAATGTGGGTTCCTAGGTTTGAACAGGCAGCACTGTTGTACACATTCACAGATTCTGATCAGGACAAAGGGACAAGAAATTACCATGCACTTGTTAAATGACTTTGTAGCTTCTCATTCTAGCAAAGTTAACACAGATTTTGGAAGTCAATAAATGGCAATGCTGACACTTATGTAGAAAAAAAATCATTTTATCAGATTCATTCTAAGATCAAAACAACAATGTAGTATTTTGATAGGAACAGCACTGGAAATTAAAAATGCCAAGAAACACCAAATTAAGTATTTAGATTCATCATCATTAACTCTGAAAGTTATCTTGTAAAAATATTTATTTATTCATGTGTATTACTGTGAGCTAGTGTGAGCTCATGTGCACCATGTGTGTGCAGGACCCTGACTTAGTAGGGCAAGAGGCCACCAGATGCCCTGGAAATGGAGCCACAGATGGCAGTGAGTCGGTGTCCTCTGCAAGAGCAGTAAATGGCATTAACCTCTGATCCCTATCTCTAGCCCCTAAATGTTATCTAAAATGCATATTTTCCATTTGAAGTTTTAGCTAGTGATACAAAACAAAACAAAAACAGAGTCATCCTAACAAACTCATAGAGAGTAAATCTAGATGATTTTCGACAAAGCAAGGAAAGAGCACTTTTCATCAGTCACATCACCAATTGGCAGATTATAACATATAGCTGCAAAGAAAGAATTTTAAAGGAGTTATAAAACTAAACTATAAGGAATCTAAGAAAAACAAGGAACTGTGTACTAAATACTATACTTGTAAGTGTATAAACATTTCAAACTAACACTTTTTGGTTAGTGGTCAGTGAAAGTCAGGATTTCTTGGACTCCAGACTGTCTGTCTGTTTACAAAGATCAGAGCAGTAAGTAAGTTTGTTTGTTTGTTTGTTTGTTTTTGGCTTGGACACAGGGTTACCATAAATCTCTTACTATCAGCTCAAATTGGCATGTCCCAAGACACAATACTTTAAATCTCTGAATGTGCTTTCTGCCCTGTGTGTAACCATTAACCATAAAAAAGGAAACTTGTAACTCTTTCTCAGGACTATGAAGTCAGATTATTTTTGGTAGCCCAATTTTAACAAGTGGTGTAACTGGACAAAATTCACAAAACTGAGGTTAGGAATTAGTACAGAGAGTTATAACATATCAGAGAGCTTGTATATGCCCATAGGCTGCTTTTTCATTAGCAAGGCATCTGGTATAATCTAAAGGTACTTTGAAATTTTATACCAACTATCATTGCAGCTGGGGAAATACAGCTGATTTCTTAATGTCAGGCTAAGCTATGTTCTAAGACAGCTCTTAAGGGGAACATATAACCCCTGAGTAGAATTTCTTTGTATTTATTTTCATTCATCAAAACTCTGTATAGGGTAACATTATTAATATCAACTAGAAAATTCAGATTAAGGATTAGTCATCTTCTTGAAAATCCACAAAAAATGCCCAGTAGATGTTAATACAAGTTCCCTCTTTCTCCCCTTCTCCCCTGCTCCCCACCAACCCCCTATCCCATCCCCTTTCTGCTTGCCCCAGAATCTTGTGGCTTTTCCAGGGTTTCCATTGAGAAATGAGCTGTTATTCTGATGGGTTTTTCTTTATATGTGACTTGCAATATTTCTCTTGCAGCTTTCATTGCCCTTTCTATGTTCTGTGTATTTAGTGTTTTAACCATGATATGCTACTGGGTATTTCTTTTCTGATCTTGTCTAGTTGGGATTCTGTATGCTTCATATATCTGTGGGTGTACATCTTTCATTAGTTCAGGGAAGTTTTTTTCTATAGTCTTATGAAAGATCTAGTCTATGCCATTGACCTGTTACTCTTCTCCCTTGTCTATGCCTATAATTAGAAGTTTTTGTCTTTTGACCAAATGTGTCCCACATTCCTGCATGTTCCTCTTCCATGCTTTAAATTTTTTCATATTCTTTCTTATTTCATCTGGATCCTCTACTTCATCTTTAAATCTTGATGTTCTATCTTTTGCTTGATTCGTTCTACTTGTAGGACTTTCCCATGAGTTTTCAAGTTGGAATAATGATTTTTTTCAATTCTATCTTCATTTTAACTTGTGCTTTCTTCAACGTTTCTATCTTGTTATTGAATTTGGTTTTCAAATGCTGAATTATCTTTATCATATCATTAAGCTATGTACTTGTATTTTCTCAAGCATTTATTTTTATATTCTTGGAGTTCAATAAAGTGTTGTTCATGTCTTCTTTAAATTCTTCAAATTATTTGATAAAGTTTATGACTGTTCTTATAAATCCTGTGTCCAGGAGTTTATCTAGGTAGTTCTCATGAGAAAACACTTCCATGGGACTAATGGGTTTCGTAGGAGACATGCTGTCTTGGCCCTTCATGTTGTTTTGATTTGCAATTTGACTGAGCATATGGACTTTTTTGTGTGGGTGTGTGTCTGATGTGCTAATCTAACCTTCCTCATATAAGTCTAGTTCAGGAGTTTTGTGACCTGTGCTAAACCAGCAGATGAGATGACTCCAAAACTATGGGTCTGTAAGTAGGCCTATGGTGCAGAGATTAGTAGCCATCAAAGAGAAGAAGGGGAAGGAAAAGAAGTGTCTCACCTATCAAAAATGGTTGTCAGAGAAAGAAGATTCAAAGGCCTCAGATCTTGAGCTAGGCCTATGGTTGTAGAGACTGCTACAAGCTGGAAAAGGGGGTAACGGAAGGAGATGTAGGGGTGGAAGCAGAGCTAGGCTTGTGGGATTACAGATGCTGGCAAATTGGGGAAAGGGAAGGCAAAAGGAAGAAGCAACTTGACTAAGGAGGGTTTAGATCCCACAAGACTGGATCTAGGCTTGCAGGTTAGCACATAGCAGCAAATTGGAGAAAGGGATGGCAAAGGGAAGAGGTAAGTAAGCAAGTAAATAACCAGCAAAGGTGTTTCATGAACAAGGAGGGTTTGCATGCCACAGGAGTAGAACCAGGCTCTTGTGGGTTTGCAGATGTGAACTTCTTTATGAGTCCTAAGAACACTTTGTATATATAATGGGGCTAGAGAGATGACTCAACAGTAAAGATCACTTACTGTTCAATGATGAGGATCAAAGTTAGACCCCAGTACCCATGTCAGTTTTCTCAAAACTGTCTGTAACTCAAGCTCCAAGGGATCTAATGCCCTCTTCTATCTTCTTCATACACCTATACACAAATGTATGTATATACACAGGCAGAGACACACAGAAGCACAAGTAAATAAAAATAGATTTCAAACTTTTAAAAGAATTCTTGGTATGTTTGAGAGATGAGTCTATTATCAGATATGTATTTTTGCAAAAATAGTCCCAGTCTCTGACTGACTCATCTGGTCATTCAATTAACAATGTCATGAAAGAAAATGTAATTACAATGAAATTAATTATCTTGCTCCTATACCTGTAGTTAGCTGTCCATCTGTAACCTTATTGCCAATCTAAAGGATGTCTAGAGTTATCTTTGAGAAGATCTAACTGTGGCATTTCACAGCTAGATTTATGATCCATTTAGACCAAATTTGATGAAGTTGTAAATTCTTTGTCTAAGTCATTTCTCTGCTTGTTCATGTCCCAGTGTCCCAGCCATATATTGAAAACACTGTACTTTCTCTCTTCAACTTCCTCTCCTTCTTTCTGAGAGAGTACTGTCAGTATTTGTATGAGTGTATTTCTAGATTTCCTGTTCAATTTCTTAATGTTTTGTGTTTTCCTACAAACATACAGTATATATGATAAGTCCTAAAAATAGTAGTATCAATTCTATAAATTTGTTTTCATATTAACCAAGCTCATCTTTTGCCTGTCTATGTAGCATATATAACTAAAATTTGAATATAAATGAAAACTAGCTTTTAGGATTTTATTTTGAATTGTATTAAATATCAGTCTTTCAACTCCCCCTCTCTCCCCTATTTTCCTTACTATACAGCCAGGATAAGCCTCAGAATTATATTCCTCTGCCGCCTTCTTTTTCTTGGTGGTACATGATTGATGCTATGATTTTAGTTTGAAATCTAGGGCTGGGAAGTTAGCTCGGCAGTTAAAAGCATGTGCTGCTCTTAGAGAGGACCCAGGTTTGGTTCCCAGCACCCACATGGTGGCTCACAGCCATCTGTAACTCCAGTCCCAGAGGACCTGAAACCCTCTTCTGCCTCTGCCAGCACCAGTGGTATGTGGTACACATACAAACATGCAACCAAGACAATAATACACACAATAAGTTTAATAATTTTCATTTACGTTTGAAATCTAATCAAAGTTGAAATTCAGGAAATTATTGACAAAGAACAAAGAAGAAAAAAGGAAGGAAAAGTCAGGTAAAGAAGGAAAGGGCAAGAGAGAGTAGGAAGATTCTTCTGCTTTTTTCCCTGCTGAAAAGGTTGTTTCAGATTTCTGTCTTTTGGCTAATGTGTATGTGTTTTGTTTGCACATGTGTATATGTACTGTGCATGCAGTACCTGTGGAAGTCAGAGAAGACAATTGAGTCCCCCAGAGCTGGAGCTACAAATTGTTGTGAACCCATCTCTCTAGCCTTCCTGCTGAAAATTTTATAGAACAACGGTAAACATTAAAGTATAGCTTTGTGTACGACATATTCTTTTAATGGGCTTTCTATAAAATACTCTGTTTTAATTGTAGCTGAAGTTTGGAAAATGTGTTTTCAGTCCATGATCATAGTTTTAAAACTCAGATGAAACATTTGTTAATTAGGTCACACTTGCTTAACGAACGTTAACTATTTTCTTTCATACCAAATCTTCTGTTTTATCTCCAGGTCATTTAGCAGTGTTTAGCAATACAGATGTAGAAATGACTGTGGTGAGTCCTGGATACAGCAGCTTCCTGATCACACACATTGTGGATGAAAAGAATGCTTTATCGATGGCAACTATGCCCCATATAATAACATCAACTTTGTACTTCCCAGTAAATTCTTGGTTCTTATACAACTTTGGCACAACTACAGGACGGACTTGGAACATTAGTGTAAGACCATGTAATTACTGGGTTCAACAAGATGATAATGATGTTATATCCCCCAGCATTGTGAAGTATATTGATATGGGAAACGAAGAGAATTATGAAATTAAGTTGATGCCTATCACAAAAGGTAAGTTTGTTTTCACTGAAAGAGTAAAAAGGACTTATTTCTTTTCTTAAATATAAAACATAACTCTGATATTTGTTTTACCTTCCCTCATTGCTAGCACACCAATACTAACAGAGCTATGTTCTAATTGTGGTTAATGACTATATTGTGGGCTCTATATTAAATGATTTATAGACATTTTTAATATTTATAGTCACCCTAAAAGTCTAGATAATAATCATTTTATAAATGAGAAAATTAAGGTAAATTAACAGTTGGAGCTATATCAATTTTAGTATAGTTTTTGTTCTTCTAAGTGAAGAACAAATTTTAATTTCTCGGGTATGGGAATAGTTGTCTTGGCATTTTATAAAATAGATTTATTTTTATTTTGTCTCTATGAGCATTTTGCCTTCATATATCTGCACCATGTGTCTGCCTATGGAGGCCAGAAGAGGGTATCAAGTCCCTGGAACTCAGTGGCACTTGTTGTAATATACCATGTGAGTGCTGGGAATCAAACCAACTTCCCCTATAAGAACATCAAGTGCCCTTAACCACTGAGCCATCTCTCTAGCCCCTATTTGAGGTATTTAATTCAAGTCGAAATGGATGTTACATAAAATAGTATACTCTATCTTAAATTTATTGTAAAAACTTGTGAAGCTAGGCTGGTAAGATGTCTCAACATACTGGGGTGCTTTTTCCCAAGATTGTAATCAACATAGTAAGGGGAGAGAACTGAGAACCAAGTCCCACAGGCGGTCCTCGGATCATCCCAAGTGCACAATATTATGCACCTACCCACATTAATTTACAAGACACACACATATTATACACTCACACACATATCATTAAGTAGATAGATATGTAAATAAATAAAAGTACAATGAAAATGAAAATTTTGAGGACTAATGAGATGGCTCAGTATACATAAGCACTTGCCATGCAACTCAGACAACCTGAGTTTGGTCATTGGATCCTACAATAGAAAGAGAAAATTGACTCTGAAAAGTGGTTCTCTGACCTGCACATGCCTGCCATTGTAGGGGAAGCTGTAGCCACGCCTACTTAGGGGCTGGCTACAGGTGTGCCTGACCACGCTTGTGAGGGCGTGGTCAGAGTGACGTAGTGTGACTGTGTTTGCTCTTTTGGTTTCACTTTGGTACTTGCTGTACAGACTGCTGCCACGCCGGCTGGCTAGGTCGCTCTGTAAGTAAGGCTTTTCCCTATTAAATACCCTTATATTTCTACCTGACTCCGTATTGGTAATTTCCCACTATATGCCATGGCATCCATGTACCCACACTTTAACATACACACATCGTATACACACAATAACAATGAATTGGTGAATAATCACAATATAAGAACTTATAAGAATTTTAAGTATGCAAAACCAAAACTGTCAGGGCCGAAGTTGCTCTGAAGTAATAGGATTAGTTCAGTCATTACAGATACTAGCCAGCAAAGGACCAAGTCCTGGGACAACTACCAGCAGAAATGCTAGATAGCAATTGGAAAAAGGAAAGCATAAATTCTGTACATTGAAACCACATAGATTATAGATAAGAGCAGTGAGAGAGCTCACAGAAGGGGCAGTTTGAGGAAGATCTATCATCTACAAGAACTACTTGTTGCTTGAGGTTGCCAGACTTCTTTGCTGGTTACAGTTAATGGTATGGAAATTATACACATAAGCAGGACAGAGTTGCACCTGCTGGCAGTGATTAAGATTTAACTAAAGTCTAAATGTACATGCATGAATCGTCATTGTGAAAGAACCGCCACTGTCCAGGAGACAAGTGTTGGTAGGTAAGAATCAGGTATATTGTGTATGCTGAAGAAGGAGGGGCCGGTTCCCTAACTCTGTCATCCCAGGCTCAGAGCTCATGAGGGTTGCTGTTGTCAGCTTGGACAAATAAGAATTACCTGGGAGGGGGGGGAGGCCCCTGTGCATGCTTGTGAGGGATGATCTCGATCACATTCATTGATGTGGGCCCATTCACCTGGACTGTGTGAAGTGGAGCAAGCAAGCTGAGCACTGGTATGCATTAGTGTGCTGCTCTCTGCTTCTTGGCTGTGGATGAAAGGCCCAGCAGTTATATATACTCTGGGTACCCAGAATGTAGTTCAGGCCATCTGTATTATAATAGGAAAGTGTCTTTACCCCAGCCTCATACTTTTCCAATAGAGATAAATATTAAAAGAAATGTCACAAAAAGGCAGACAAGCAGATCTCAGCCTTTGGATTGGAGACACACCATCTGATGTTTCTCTGAAGTCCTAAGACACATATGTATTGAATATAGAACATCATGTTTTATTCCTTATACCATTGCTAATTTGTTTCTGTACACTCTGAATAATTAATGTGTGCATAGAAAGTTAAGTAGGAGTCTGTTAATGTCGGACTTTCTTTGGACTGCCACCTACCAAATAATTACTTGGAAACTTTTTATTATGAAAGATTGGCCTTGGAATGCTCCCAATTAGACCTTATAACTTAAATTAGCCCATTTATATTAATCTACATTCTACCACTTAGCTCGTTACCTCTCCTCTGTACCTACATCTGACTTCTTCAGTGTCTGGCTGGTGAATTTCATGCAACTTAGATTCTGTCCCAGAGTTCCTTTTTCTCCATGGAAGTATTACCTATCTTCTCCTGCATAGCAATTGGCTGCTCAGCTCTTCATTAAACCAATCAGGAGCCTTAGGCAGGCAAGGTAAAACAGTGACACATCTTTACACAATGTGATCAAATCTCCCACAACAGACTGGCCCAAAGTAAAGGACAGATCTGAAATGAAGGTGGGAATGCCGGGCTTTGTCTTTTTAGTTTCCTGGTGGACCCAAGTGAAAGTCAATGCATTTTAAGAAAAGGAGTTTCTGATTACCTATTGTGGGACATCAAGTCAGAGAGGTCAAACTTTTTATCCCAATTGAGTCACTCGTCAGATGTCTGCAAGTTCAAGTGAAGACTTAATGGTTTTAGCGAAACTTTTAAGGCCCTACGAAGTGGCGCACACAACTGCTACAGCTCACATGCCAGAGGTCTGATCTACATAAAAACAGCATGAAGACACTAATGTATGACATCCAAAATTCATAATGTCTTAATTTCTACAGATAACACTTATCTATTATGAGGTAAGGGGCCCAGAGTTCTTCATCCTATATTTCTTGGCTGTCACTAACTGCCTCATGTTTGCCTCTATGTGGGTACAAATCCAATAAACAATGCCAGGAGATAGCAGAGTTAAGGCAAAGTGTTCTTCTTCCAGCAAGCAAGAATACACTGGGAATAATTTCCAAAGCAATTTCTCCCCAGGAGAAAAAAGAAAAAAAAACTTTTCTTTTCTTTTACTAAGAAAATTTATACATACTTTACATAGGAGTGTTGTTAGATGAAGACATCCCTGAGTATATTCAGGTCAAGTTCAAGGTTGTGCATCATTCAAAAGTGTGTAGCAGCCTAGATTGACACAAGGCAGAAAATTTAGTATTACAGAGAGCCAAGTTTACCCTAAGTTACCTAAAAAGAGTGAGTCAGAGAGACTGGGATGTTTTGTCTGATTCCTAAATTTCTCTGGAAGAGGTTTTCCCAAACCAGTAAATCTCACCAACAGGTCTCTGGGGGAGCACTAGAGGGATAGCTCACTCACATGGCTCTTTAGAGAACGAGTTCTGACTCAGCACACACAAACATTTCAGGGATATTAGTCATTTAAAGGGCATCAGCTTCCTCAACTCCATAGTTGTAGGTAATTGTACCTAGAAATACCTGCCTAGTACCAAACATATAGTATCCCAGTGACCTTGCTATCCATTTGAGAACTTGGAAGAGAAATGAGGAGTGGAAGGGAAAATATATTTTCTGAGGAAAATATCGCTAAAGGTAAATTTTACTAAGGTCTATTGAGTTGCCAATCATTTTTCAGTGTTTTTTTTATAATTTTCATTATGTAATGTTAGTTTTTGGCACTGTTTCCATAGGTATGAGGATACTTCATATCCCACCAGTTGGTGTGATTGTCGGAAACCCAGCGTTATTGGAAGTTACGACAGAAGGCTATTTTGACATCACTGATAGCTACCACATGAAGGTTCACATAGCCAGCAAATTTTTCCAAAAAGTAAGAGGGTTTTTTAATTACAAAACAATCTATTAGATGTAGAAAATATAGAATAGTAGCTATGACAGTCAAGCAATCCTTCCATCAAGGGTACATAACTACACACTTAGCATGTGTAGTACATTATAACACAGGGGTAGGGTGTCATGGTAAAGGTTAGAAATATGAGATCTGGGCAGGAGTGTTGCACACTTTTAATCTGAGCACTCTGGGGGCAGGAATAGGCAGAGATATCTGAGAGTTTGATGCCAGCCTGGGCTACACAGTAAGAGGATCTTAAAAGAATAAGAGATAAACAGCTTTTATGCTTTTTACATTTTTAAACCTTTTTTCTAATTTTATCTTTTGCATTCCCTTCATTGTTAATCAGAACTTCTCTCTTGCTGTTTTCTGCCCCTCCATTTCATGTTCTTTTTTCTCTTTTCCTTCTTTTCCTTCCTTTTTCCATCCCATGACCCTTCCTGTTTCATATTTTACCTTAAATGTTTTGAACCTCAAACCTCACTCCACATTATTTTTGTCCATTTTATTTTATATGGTTATTGATAGTATGGACTTGGCTTTAATATATTTTATTGTATTTCTATACCTGATTTAGTTTGGTAATGCTACTCATACTTCAGTTTATTTCCCCCTCCCTAGGTGATGCTAGGGTTCTAATGGTCAGCTTTACCTACCAACTTGACCTAATCTGCAGTCACCTAGGAAAGGGAAGGTGTCTCAATGAACTTGTCTAGAGTAGGTTGGCCTATGAGCATGCCTGAGAAAAATTAGTTAATTAGGTTAACAGAGGTGGCAATATCCACCCTGGGTATTAGAAAACAAAGAAACAATATTAACAAACTTCAAGACAAAACACTAGGGGCTGGGAGTGTAGCTCAGTTGGTAAAGTGCTTGTCTGGCAAGCAGAAGCCCAGGGTTACATGCCAACACCACATATACCCAGTATGTTAATGCAAACTTAGGAGCCCAGCACTTGGAAGGAGGAGGCGAGAAAAGAATCAACTTTCGCAAATTGTCCTGTGAGCTGTACCACACACACATACATACACACACACACACACCCCCCCCCCCCCCCCCCCCCCCCCCCCCCCCCCCCCCCCCCCCCCCCCCCCCCCCCCCCCCCCCCCCCCCCCCCCCCCCCCCCCCCCCCCCCCCCCCCCCCCCCCCCCCCCCCCCCCCCCCCCCCCCCCCCCCCCCCCCCCCCCCCCCCCCCCCCCCCCCCCCCCCCCCCCCCCCCCCCCCCCCCCCCCCCCCCCCCCCCCCCCCCCCCCCCCCCCCCCCCCCCCCCCCCCCCCCCCCCCCCCCCCCCCCCCCCCCCCCCCCCCCACACACACATACACCACACACACACACACACACACATACACACACACCATACACACACAACACAACACAACACACACACACACACCCCACCACACACACACACACACAGCACACACAACACACCACACCACACACACACACACACACACCACAACACACACACACACACCCCACCACACACACACACACACAGCACACACCACACACCACACCACCCCACCCCACACACGCACACACACTAACACACACGCACACGCACACACACTAACACACACGCACACGCACACACACTAACACACACGCACACGCACACACACTAACACACACGCACACGCACACACACTAACACACACGCACACGCACACACACTCACACACACACACACACACCACACCACACCACACCACACACACACACACCACCACCACACAAACAAACAAATGTAAGAAAATAATCTAACAAATAAAACATGAGACTTCCTCAATCTGTGTCAGGGTTTTGAATACCTGATTTAATGTTGTTTTGTTTCTCTCTACTTCTTGACATTTATTCTTTTCCTTTGGCTGACTTGCCATATGCTTAATAAATGCATTCATTCAAAACCAAATGTACAACTACCATAGATCATTCTCTGGATCATTGAAAACAATGGATTTGGGGTGTTTCAGGTTCTAAACTTCATGTTTTGATGTTTCCAGGGTTCCACTTCACTAGCACTGGTTGTGTGGGAAGCATCAAGTCAGTGCTATCTTACCACACTGGTGCCAACCATGAAGAGCAGTTGCAGCTACCTCAGGACTATGCACCACATTCCCGGCAGACACATACCACCTGAACACTGGATTAGCGGAGTTCACAAGGACAGCCAAGGTTTCAATATGATCAAAACTCTGCCGGTAAGAAATGTAGCTATGCCTCCTTTAAGAGAACAAGTGGTATATTTCTCCTGTATACTCCCATGGCCATTCTGTGTCAGAATTTCTGCATGAGGCACTCCAGCGCTACCGTCATTTTCAAACTGTGGGTTGTTCTGAGAACGTGATGGTGATGATCCATTTCTTTTTCTTTCTTTTTTTTATTTGAATTAGAAACAAGATTCTTTTACATGTCAATCCCAGTTCCCTCTCCCTCCCCTCCGCCCCTACCACCCCCCAACTAAAACCCTACTTATCACATACCCTTTCTAATCCACAGGGAGAGTGTGGCCTTCCATAGGGGGTCTTCAAAGTCTGTCATATCCTTTGAGATAGGGCCTAGTCCCTCC